CGGAAATTTTGAGTCGTTCGGAGAACCGGCCAATCCCACCTCTGACTGGCCCTGCCAACCCCATCTATTCTCTGCCTCTCGAGTCCCAGCCAATTGTCTGGATCTCCTTTGGTTGCCCCGCCCAGGAGAACGGAGCTGGAAAGCAGGCTAGTGTGTGGTGGGGAGGGAATGGGCATTTTTTAGTAACCTTTTTCCCTGCCACGCCCACCAAGGCAAGCCACGCCCACAGAACCTGTAGTAAAAAAAATTTGAATCCCACCGCTGCTTGTAGGCAAAGCGGCTGGCTGGTTTCTGACTCAGTCATTCCTGAATCCCTCCGCAGGCGTCGAGTTGCACTTCGCTAGCATCCGGCCTTCGGAGGCCGGTGTTTACGTCTGCACCTGCCGAAACCCCCACTTTACCAACTCCAGCCGCAGCGAGGTCGTTGTCACAGGTGAGGCGGAAGCTACTCAGAAACTGGGCTGCCAGGCGCAGGGAGGCATGTAAGGGGAGCCCCCTCTCCAGCATACCTGACATGGGCTGGCTCCCTCGAAAGAGGGAGAGAGAGAGAACGGGAGAGAGAGATAAAGAGAGAGAGAGAGAGCTGGGTCAGGACCGGCTGGGCAATGCTGACCGGCTTCTCTCGGCCAGCGCAGAAGGCCCCAGCAAGGCCATCTCCGTGACGGTGGAAGAGCAGAAGGTGCAGAACGTGAAAGCAGGCAGCGACGTCACCTTCCTCTGCACGGCCAGGAGCAAGGTGAGTCTTTGGGGGGTGGGAGAGAGAGAGAGGTGTGGGGGGGATCCTTGCCAAGGAAAAGCAGAAGTCTAGCAGGTCAGATCCGAGAGGGCCTGGCGAGGCCTGCAGTGGCACAACGGTGCCCAGGGGAAGTGCAAGTACCACCGCGGTTGCATGCCGAGACTCCCCCTGGACGTCCAGCCGCAGACGCTGCCTCCCCTTCCCAAACCGGGCAGGGTGGGTGCATTTGGGCCCTTTCCTGCCTCTTCTCCCACCCACCCACCCTTGTTTCTCTCACCCGCCCACTTCCTGCCTTCTCCTGCAGTCCCCCGCTTACACGCTGGTGTGGACACGGCAGAACAACGGGAAGCTGCCCAGCCGCGCCATGGACTTCAACGGCATCCTGACCCTCCGGAACGTGCAGCCGGAGGACGCCGGCATCTACATTTGCACAGGCTCCAACATGTTTGACATGGACGAGGGGATGGCCACCCTCTACGTGCAAGGTGGGGTTGCAGCTCTCGCGCCTGCCGGCTGCCAGGGAGAGGGAGTCCTCCTCTCCGGCTTGGCCCACCAGCCCACATCTCCCGAGCACTACGCTGATCCGGGCCGCCACCCCGGGACCAGCCGCTTCCTCGCAGGCTCACGCAAAGACACGCTTCTGCTCTCATCCATCGAGTGGAGGGCAGGAGGGGAAATCTGGGGGGGCGGGGAGAAGCTTTTGGGGACGGGAGGCCCGTCTCTTAAGACAGCGGCGCCTGGACTCGCAAGGTTCCTGCTTGAGGCAGCTCAACACGCAGCCACCTTTTCACACGCGGCCCCCTCTGCCCCCCCCCCCAACCCTGTTTTCAGCTCCATCGAAGACTCAGATGTTCTATGGTCCCGTAGAAATGGTGGAAGGCCACAGACCTTGTAAGTCAGTTTGGCCTGCAGGTGCCTGTCCACCTCCCCCATTGGAACCCCACTTTGCTTGTTGGCTGGTGCTGTTTGGCCTTTCTTCTCCTCCTTCTCCTCCTCTTCTCCTCCTCCTCCTCTTCTCCTCCTCTCCCTTTCTCCTCGTCCTCCCTCCTCTCTCGGCCTCTTCCTCCTCCTCCTCCTCCTCCTTCCTCTTTGCCCTCCTTCTCTCCTCCTCTTCCTCCCTCCTTTTCCTCCTCCTTCTTCTCTACTTCCTCTTCCCCCTCCTTCTCTCTTTCTTCTCCTCCTTCTCCCTCTTCCTCCTCTCTCATCCGCTTCCTCCTTCTCTTCTTTTCCCTCCTTTTCCTCCCTCTTCTCCTTCTCCTTTTCTTCCTCTTCCCCCTCCTTCTCTCCTCCTTCTCCTTCTCTTCTCCTCCTTCCTCTTCCTCAGCCTCTTCTTCCTCCTTCTCTTCTTCCTCTTCCCCCTCCTTCTCTCCTCCTCTTCCTTCTTCTCTTTTCCTTCTCTCCTCCTCCTCCTCTTCCTCCACCTCCACCCTCCTCCTCCTTCCTCTTCCTTTTCTCCTCCTCTTCCTCATTCTCCTTCTTCTCTTCTTCCTTCCCCCTCCTTCTCTCCTCTTTCTTCCTCCTCTCTCATCCTCTTCCTCCTCCTTCTCTTCTTCCTCTCCCCTCCTCTCCTCCTCCCTCCTCTTCTTCCTCCTCCTTCTCTTCCTCTTCCCCCTCCTCCTTACCTCCTACTCTTCCCCCTTCTCTTTTCCTTCTCTCCTCCTCTTCCTCCTTTCTCTTCCTCTTCCCCTCCTCTTCCTCCTCTTCCTCATTCTCCTTCCTCTCTTCTTCCTCTCCCCCGTCCTTCTCTCCTCTTCTTCCGCCTTCCTCCCTTTCCCCCTCCTCCTTACCTCCTACTCTTTGTCCTTCACTTCTTCTCCACTTCCTAAACCTCCCCCTCCTCCTCCATTCTCTGGGATGCCGAGTTGCCTTTCTTACTCACAGGCCAGCAAGGCGGAGTAGGCAGACTCTCCCCTCTGCCTCCATCCCTGCTCCGTTGCCCCCTCCCAGGCCTTGTTCCTCTAGTTCATGTTTCCATCCATGCATGCCTCATGTTCTCTGCCTGCATGCGTGCAATGTGCTCAGCCCACATCTTCCAGCAGGGGTCTCGGGCCTTGCCAAGGATTTCAGCCTGGCTCTGGAATCCTTGTGGGCACCTTCCACCCTCCCCCAACCCCCCCCTCCCCAGCTCTGACCAAGCCGAACCTGCTTCCTCCTGCAGCTGCCGCTGCTGTCCAGCCCACAGCCGCCATTGAACCCTCCCAGCTGAGCGTCCAGACGGGCCAACCAGCCGAGTTTCGCTGCATCGTGACCGGAAGCCCAGAGCCCACCATAGAATGGAGCGGTAAGCCTTCGTAAGACACCCCCCCTCCCCCCTTTCAGGCCAGATGGTCTTGGCTGACCTCGGCTTGGCAACCCGGAAGGCTCAGACCAGGTGGGCAAACTTTAGGGGGGCTGGTTTGGGCAGTTGAGAAAGCGTCCTGAAGGCAGCCGTGAAAAACCACCTCTGCGTTGAGCCGTTGCACGCCAAACAAGGACAGGTCTGTGTATCCACGGGGATCGACCTGAGATCAACTTTTTACACACACACACACACACAGAGCAAGCGTGTCTCAACTCATCCCGGTCGTGGTGGTCTCAAATGTGCTTTTTTTTTCCGAGAGGCCACTGGACTTTTCTGGTTTTTTTTTTCTTTGAAGACGTTTCGCTTCTCGTCCAAGAAGCTTCTTCAGCTCTTTTCGAGAGGCCATCCCCACTTTTACGACTTTTTTTTTCCTTTGAAGACGTTTCGCTTCTCGTGCAAATGGAGCCCTTGTGCACGGGCTCGCTCGCTACTCGTGGAGGGGGGATGCACGCTCGCTCGCTCACCCCCTTCCCGTAGAATAGACTAACAGAGTTGAGCAGGAGCGTCTTATTTCCAAATATTAGCCTCTTCCTAGGGTCGAACTCACGGCCTCTGGATTGTGAGGCCAGAGCTCCACTTCTAGACCACCGGAGCTGCACGGCCCAATTCCAAACAGTTCAAGGCCCTGTAGTGGGTTGGGGGCACCCCTGCCTCAGTTGTAACTTAAATACAAATGACGCATGCAAAATGCAAGGTGCGGGGGAAATAAGATTTGAGGAGTCTCGTGGTTCCAAAAAAAGAGCGATTGATTTAACGAAGGATTGTGCTGTTGGCAGGGAATCCTTCTAAAGCCGGGGTGTCAAACTCTTATTTCACTGAGGGCCATATCAGGGTTGTGTTGGACCATCGGGGGGCCAGGGTGGGCCTGGACAGCTCGAGTCCGTCGTGTTAGGGGTGCCTGTAGGGGGCCCAAGCGCTCTTATCAGCGAAAATGGGCTCCCGAGCTCCGTTTTCGGCCACGATGTCCTCCTGCAACCGTCTGCCACCGTGGTGGGACTGATTTTTTTTTTACTACTGGTTCTGTGAATGTGGCTTGGTGGGCGTGGCAGGGGAAGGATATACTGCAAAATCCCCCTTCCCTCCCCCACCTCCCTAACCTGCTTTCCAGCTCCGTTCTCCTGGGCAGGGCAACCCAAGGAAGACCCAGCCGATCAGCTGGGACTCGACGGGAGGCAGAGAATAGAAGGGGTTGGCGGGGCCTGTCAGAGGCGATTCTTTTGCCGGTTCTCCGAACGACTCCACATTCCCACTACCGGTTCTCCAGAACCGATCAGAACCGGCTAAAGACCACCTCTGCTCTGCCAGCAAAAACGGAGCTCGGGAGGGTCGCGTGGACCAGTCCCTTTGCTGTTTCCAGCTCAGCTCCGTGAGCCAGATCGACGCACCCCGATCCGGCCTGCAGGCCTTGAGTTTGACACCTCCTGTTCTAAAGGATGCATCTCTGTGTGTGTCGCTTGCTGGCCGGTGCTGTTTTCACCTGGGTGTTCCAGGACTCGCTTTTGTGCCCGGAATGGGGCTGAACGGAGGGGCCCATCCAGCACCCATAAGCGGAAAATCCCCTCGATTCAGACAACTGGGAAGGTTTTTTCTCTCTGCTCCAGGAGGACCCGGGGGCGTGATTTCCCCCAAGGCTGTTATCCAGGGTGGGACCCTGCACTTCCCTGCGGTGGAGCCTGCCGACGAGTCCCAGTACCTGTGCCGAGTGCGAAATAGCGTTGGGCAGCACATGGCCCGAGCTTTCCTGCAAGTGCAACGTAAGTTGAGGTGGTGTCTCTCCGGCCACAAGGTGGATGCCCGATACCTACCTGACAGGGAGAGGTGGCACCCGGCGACCCTTCTGTTCTTCCTTCCTGAGCATGAGATTGACGATAATGGGGCTTCTTCTGGGGGCCTCAGAGTCCATCTTCCCAGGAGGCATCTAGGAGGATCAGGCAGAAAGAGACTTAGCTGATCCTCTTCTTTTAACCACCTCATAATCCCCTGTGCGGCAGAGTCTGTGCAACTGAATGGAGCTGAGTGTTTACTGGCCAGATGCCTTTCCTGTCTCCAATGAGGAGTTTTGTTCAGCAGATATATTCTCATTGGGCCCAGAGAGAGAAATATCTGCCTCTACCTAGGATCGAACACACAGCCTCCGGATTGTGAGGCGAGAGCTCCACCTCTAGGCCACCGCGCATCCGAAGAAGAGTTAGCTAATCAAATTGGCCAAAGGCGAGAAATCTCCCCAGTGAATTTAAGTGAGGCAACCAGCTTTAGGCCATAAATGGGCGTGACGGTCTGAGAGAGGGAGTGGGGGGGCTGATCTCCCCTTTGCTCTTGGGCAGGCACCAGCGTCCCCCAAGTGCAGGTGAGCCCCGAACGGACCGAGGTGCAGGAGGGCAGCACCGTCAGACTGTACTGCCGGGCTGCGGGCTCCCCAGCGGCCACCATCACCTGGGAGAAAGAGGGCGGCAGCTTGCCTCCCCAGGTAAGGCCTGGTCTCCCAGGGAGGTGGGCCCCTCCCAGACCCTTTGGGTCCAGGTGAGGTTGCCCGGGGGAAGAGGTGGGCCAGGAGCAGACCCAGCCTGCGACGCCTCTTTCGGTGCTTCTGATCTTTCTGGCGGCCTCTGTCCCCTCCCTCCCTTCCTTCCTCTCTCTCTCTCTCTCTCTCTCTCCTTCTCTCTCTTGCCCTCCTCCCGAGCCAGGCGCTTCCTGTCTTTGGGTTCTTCCACTTCCAAAGTGGCAGCTGGGAAGCCGTCCGGCAGCAAATACGGGAGCTTCAGCAGGTATCCCTCTGCATGAGCCCCTCGTATTGCTCTGCTGGTCGGCCTCGTCTTCCTCCTCTGGCTTTTGGTCTCTGGTTCTCCAGCGGAGAGAAGCAAGGTCTCCCCCCACCCCAAACTGTTTTGCTTTTCTCCCACCCTCCCAGATTGTGCTGGCTGCGCCCCGATTTCTACATCCCCCCTCGCCTGCTGCTGCTTCCACTCTTTTCTTGCTTGTGCCGGGGGCTCACGGATGTTGCGGGCGGCATCTGCCCAGCTCTGGGCCCCTTAGGGGCTCCTTGGCACTCCTTTCCCCCAGGAGGGTGGGAAGCCAGCTGCCCCTTGAGGGTCTCCCAACGGTTTCCCTTTGTGCCTTGCCAGTCCCACTCCGAGAGAACCGACATCGCCACCCTGGTGATTCCCTCCATCACGGCTGCCGACGGAGGGGTGTACCTGTGTGTGGGCAGCAGCCCGATGGGAGTCGGCAGAGGCCGCATTGAAGTGGCAGTCATTCGGGGTAAGGCGAGACCTCTGCGTGCACCTCTGGCTGGTTTGAGCAAAACGCCGAGCCGGTTGTGGTCAGCTCAAGGGTAACATATTCGAATCTGGACTCAAACTCGCCTCCTCGCAGTGCAACTCATGTCCTTGCCTCCTTTCCCTCCGCCCTTTGTGTCTGTTCAGCATCCGGCGTCTCACCCATTGTCAAGATCGAACCTTCATCTTCTTCGGTCACTGAAGGCCAGGCCTTGGACCTGAATTGCGTGGTGGCCGGCCACCCTACAGCATCCGTCGTGTGGTACCGGCGGGGAGGGGCCCTGCCAGCCAACCACCAGGTTCGGAGTCTCCCAGGACCTGAGGGGAGTGGGCGGCCGCATCTCCCTTCTCTGTGGGGGTCTCCCTGGTTTCATTCTGGGCCATGAAAGGGGGAGGAGTTTGGAAAAGGCTTGACAGAAACAACAAGAATTCCCTCTTAATTATGAGGAAAAAACTACATTTCATTCAGAGTGGTTGGTCTCATCTGGCCCCTGGGGTGGGCTGTTGGGGGCTCTCAGGGGTTCGGGAGAGCCCCTACCTAAGACTCCGCGGGGCTCAGAGAGCCCCCAATAACCTCAGAAGGATAAGCAGTAAGGGAAAGCTCTTAATGGGCTTAATTGAGAGGAAGAAAAAAAATCCTGGGACAATCAGCTGTTTTAGGTGCGCGTGCTTTAGGTGCATGTGCTTCAGGTGCCCATGTGCACACACGCGTGATCACCAAACCGGTAGTGGGACAGGTAGGACCCCACTGCTATCCTTCCTCCCTAGATCTACGGGTCCCTCCTGCGAATCTTGGAGGTCTCGGCCGCTGACTCCGGGGAATACGTCTGCCGAGTCAGCAACGGAGCCGGCCCGAAGGAAGCCTCCATCAAGGTGACCATCCAGAAGAGCCACACCTCCTCCCAAGGTAAGGCCAAAGACCAAACCTGGGCGTGGGAAGGAGAGCCAGGAGTCGCCAACCGGAGCACAACAAGGCAAGGTTTGGGCCATCCTTTTTGTCTGCCTTCCTGGGAATGGAGCCCTGGAATTCGTGGGCAAGAGAAACTGACTCATAATTTAATAAAAGCAACTTATTATTAGAATTGCATAACCTGTTAAACGTAAATAGGATGAATGCTAATGTATTTGTATCAAAATGTGACTAGAAAGGGGATTTAAATATATATATATAATAGTGGCATATTAAAAATGAAAAAGGGGATAAACAATGGAAAATTATAATTTAATATAAACTTGTGAATTGTTATTAGAACTATATAATCTGGTAAACTCTGCCAATATGATTATTAACATATAATTGGAAGTGAAAGCAGTGAGATGAAGAATCTAGAGATTGACACAAAAATAACATTTTGCAATATTGAATAATCAAGAATGATTATTTAACCAAATATATGTAATGATATCAAATTTTAAAAGATTGTCAACAATATTAAACAAGAGGAATATTTGTATCAAAATGTAAGACGCCAGGGAACCACATTGTACACTTATATTTTTGATGTATCCAAAAATAAAAAAATTATCGCAAGAGAGAGAGAGAAGCTGACCCATCTTCTGACTTCCTCAGGGCCAGTCCGGATCGACTCTGCCTCCTCTTCCATCACCGAGGGTCAGTCCTTGGACCTTGCCTGCCAGGTCACTGGCCTCTCGCAGCCCAGAGTCACTTGGTACAAGCGGGAAGGGCCCCTCCCAGCTAATCGCAAGGTACTGTCAGGATTCCAGCAATCGCCCTAATTAAATCATGATTCTCGAGCCAAACTTCAAAAAACTTCAAAGGATTTATTAGAGGCGACATACTGGCCCTGCCCTGTATGCAGCCAACTCTGGCATACGTAATTTACAGTCACCTGTGACCCTGTTTCCCCCCCCCCTCCCCCCTGGGTGTCCCATAAACCAGATTCTCCAATTGAGCACCTTCATGGGCTGGGTGTCCTCATTCACCTTCTCCAATGAAACATATTCGCTGGCAAAAGCTCTGGTAGTTTAGTTACAATCTTTGAAAGATAAGAGTTGGAACTTACTTTTGTTTTCAAACTGCTGCACTGCTCTTCCAGATTTCCTTCCTCCCCCCGCCCGTTTTTTTTGTTTTTTGTTTTGAATGGCAACTATTAAAACAGGCATAGGAATGTTTTATGAGTTGAAAGGTACGGGCATGATGGACACGGCGGGAGACACTTGGCTAGAGCGCGCGCCTCTTCCTCTCTTTTGGGGGTCCTCACCGCCTCTCTCGACTGCCTTCTCTTTTCAGATTTCCGGTCTCCATTTGAGGATTCTAAAAGCCACAGTAGCCGACTCGGGAGAATACGTTTGTCGGGTGACGGATGGTGACAGCGGCGGCGTTCGAGAGGCCTCCGTAGTGATCACCGTGCACAGCAGCTCCAAAAGTGAGTCAGAAGCTCAGGTCCCGGCTTAAGATCTGGAACCTGTGGGTTTCATAGGTCCAGGATGGAAGGGCCAAAGAAGGCAGGCCAAGCCTAAGGGGAACCCAGGCAGTGGTGGGATTCAAATTTTTGTTACTACAGGTTCTGTGGGTGTGGCTTGGTGGGCGTGGTGTCAGGATTCCAGCAGTTACTCCAATTAAATCATGAGCCTCAAGCCACACTCCCAAAACTTTTCTTTTATTAGAAGTTAACATGCCGGCATTTGCCTGGACATAGACAACTCTGAGACACATAATTCACTGTCACCCTTGATTCCCCACACTCCTCTGGGTGTATCCTGTTTTTTTTCCCCCACCCCTCTGGGTGTATAATCCAACGAAACACGTCCACAGCCAAGAGTCATCAATCATGTTCTCCAATTAGATTTTTGCACGGCAGAAGCTTCAGTCATCTAATCAGTCTTTGAAGAAAATATGAATGGAATGTACTTTCGATTCCACGCTGCTGCCTGCTCTTTGAAACTCCCATGCCTTCCTTTCTGTTGACAACTATAAAACGTGTATACAATATGTTTTATGAGTTGACACATGGCATGGCTTGGTGGGCGTGGCAGGGGAAGGATATACTGCAAAATCCCCATCCTCTCCCCACCCCACTAACCCGCTTTCCAGCTCTGTCCTCCTGTACAGGGCAACCAAAGGAGACCCAGGCTGGGACTCAATGGGAGATGGAGAATAGATGGGGCGGAGCCGGCCAGAGGTGATATTTTGGCCGCTTCTCTGAACTACTCAAAATTTCCACTACCGGTTTTCTAGAACTGGTCAGAACCTGCTGAAGACCACCTCTGAACCCGGGTTCAGATCCAAGGGGAGTTCAGCTCTCCCCTTCAAACCAGGCCCACGGAAGCCTATAGGGGAGGGCTGGCAGGAGGGGGGAGGTCTGTTAACTGATGTGTCGGCCCCTTCCTCCTGTCCTCACAGCCTCGGGAGTTACGCCTCCACTCTGGATCGAGCCTTCGTCACTCTCCCTTGTCCCAGAACAAACCCTGGACTTGAATTGTGTTGTGGCCGGCCAAACCGGTGCCACCATCACGTGGTACAAACGAGGCGGATCCTTGCCAGCCGGCCACCAGGTAAGGGAGCCCCTGGAGGCTGGGGGAGGGGGAAGCGCTGTCCAGAGACCGCTTCTCTCTGGGAGGGGTGTTTTCCGCAGCAGCCCCCAACCTTTCAGACACCAGGGACCAGTTCCATGGAGAGAAGCTTTTCCGCGGACCGTGGAGCGCATGGTTTCGTGTGCTGTTCCCGCATCCCGCAGACGGGTCTTCCATGCTTGTTTGCACGGACCGGTTTCTGGCATGCCGCAGCCCTGTGGCTGGTCCATGGATTGGGGGTTGGTGCCCCCTGGTTTACAGCATCCCTTCCATCGTCGCGCCGACTGTCTCTTCTTCCTCGACCCCGCAGGTGTCCGGTTCCCACCTGCGCCTCCCCCGGCTCTCCCCGGCTGACCTGGGGGAATACGTCTGCCGCGTCAGCCTGGATTCCCTCACCCGAGAAGCTTCCGTCCTCATCTCCCTCACCCGCTCTTCTTCCAGTAGGTGTGGGGGCTCCCTGCGAGGAGGGCTGGGCTTGCTGGGGGCTGGCGGTCTCCTCACCCGCCCGTCTGCTCTCCCCAGCCTTTGGCGTGGCTCCCCCGGTGAGCATCAAGGCCTCCTCGTCCGCCATAGCTGAAGGGCAAACGCTGGAGCTGGACTGTGTGGTTGGCCATCCGGAGCAGGCCCGGGTTACCTGGTACAGAAGGGGCGAAGCCCTGCCAGCCCACCACCAGGTACAGGCATGGCACAGCCTTAACAAGTGCAAGTGGATAACAACTTTGGAGCCCCTTGGGCAGTTTGGGGGCTAAAAGCCACGGTCTCGGAGGCACCTCCTTGCCCGCAGAGTGCCCCAAATTGGCTCTTGGGCACCACGCCAGTTTCAAAGCAGTTTGATTAGCTGGAAAACGCTCTTTGGACTTTGGAGTCTGGAGTTGCTGTTGAGGAAACAGCATCGGGTGGCTTTTAGTCTGGTTGCCTTAGTCTGGATACGAACCGAGCTCCATCTACCTCTGAGATAGACGTTTAGTTTTAGTTTAGTTTAGTTTAGTTTTAGTTTACTGTTAGTTTACTTTTAGTTTAGTTTTAGTTTTAGTTTTAGGTTAGTTTGAGTATAGTTTTAGTTTTTGTTTTAGTTTTAGTTTTGTTTTAGTTTAGTTTAGTTTAGTTTTAGTTTTAGTTTAGTTTTCGTTTAGTTTTCGTTTAGTTTTAGTTTTAGCTTAGTTTGAGTTTAGTTTGAGTTCAGTTTAGTTTTAATTTAGTTTTAGTTTAGTTTTAGCTTAGTTTTAGCTTAGTTTTAGCTTAGTTTGAGTTTAGTTTAGTTTTAGTTTAGTTTTAGTTTAGTTTTAATTTAATTTTAGGTTAGTTTTAGGTTAGTTTTAGGTTAGTTTTAGTTTAACTTTAGGTTAGTTTTAGGCAGAGGTGGTATTCAGAAGGTTCTGACCAGTTCTGGAGAACCGGTAGTGGAAATTTTGAGTAGTTCGGAATACCACCTCTGACTTGCCCTAGCTCCATCTATTCTCTGCCTCCCGAGTCCCAGCTGATTGGCTGGGTCTTCTTTTGTTGCCCTGCATAGGAGGATGGAGCTGGAAAGCAGGTTAGTGGGGTGGGGAGGGAATGGGATTTTGCAGTATCGTTCCCCTGCCACGCCCATAGAACCGGTAGTAAAAAAAAAATGAATCCCTTAAGTTAGTTTAGTTTAGATTAGTTTAGATTGGTTTTAGTTGTTTTAGTTTAATTTATTGTCATTGCACCTCTTACAACAAAATTAAAAGCCATCTTCAATGTACATTATAAGTATAAAAATAAAACACACATCCATCACATTCTATATAATTGAACTGAAAATCCCTGATACTGCATTAATATTGCACTATACAGTAGAATTCTAGATAGAAGCTGTTTTTCAGCCTATTTGTCCTTGTTTTTATTGTCCTGTACCGTCCGCCAGATGATAATAATTCAAAAAAAAAAAGGGGGTGCCCAGGATGAGATGGATCTTTGAGGATGTTTTGAATTTCCTTAAGGCAGCAGCAGCTAAAAAGCTCTTCCAAAGAGGGGAGAAGGCAACCAATGACCCTCTGGGCAATGACATTAACCCTCTGGAGTGCTTTCCTATCTGCCACCATGCAATTGGCAAACCCTACAGAGGTGCAGTAAGTTAAGATACTCTCTATGGTGCAGCGGTAGAAGGTCACCAGCAGTTTTTCATTCAGTGGTTGTTTCCTGAGAAAGTCTCAGGAAGTATAATCTCTGCTGGGCACCTACGGCAGGCAACTCCGCAAAGGCTGCTGTTCAAATAATAATCGTTTTCAACCGAGGATTCGCGAACGTCTCCTCGCTCCGAATACAAAAGAAAGGCCTTATTTTCATTATTTTTTTTTAAAGGGATTTAGAATCATTGTGGGTTTTTTTTTCCCCCCTCCGGTGTAAAATATATAACTCCATACTTCACAGTCAGCAGAGCAGAGGTTAACTTAGACGCGCTGATATGGATGCCATCCTCTTTTAGGCCTCGGGAACTCGCCTGCGGCTGGTCAAGGTCTCTCCCGCCGATTCCGGAGAGTACGTTTGCCGGGTCAGCTCCGACGCCGCCAGCCACGAAGTCTCTGTCTTGGTCACCGTCCAGCAACAGGAGGGCAGCCCTACTTTCCGTAAGGATTGCCTTCTCTCGAAGCCGCTCGCAAGGGAAGAGAACCGAGAAGGTTGAACCGGGGGGGGGGGGGGGGGGGCGCAAAGGTTGGCAGCGGGAAAAAAAACCAAGGGAGGGAATGCAGCCAGCGCTTGGCTTACAACAATTCATTCAAAGTTAACAACGGCACTGAACAAAGGGACTTTTATGACCGTTTTTCACACTGAAAGACCATTGCAGTGTCCCTGGGATTTACATCCCTGGGATGCTTGGCCATTGGTTCATATTTACGACGGTTGCAGTGTCCCCGGGGGTGTTGAGTGATCCTCTTTTTGCGACAATCCGGCAAGCCAAACCAGTGGGGAAGCGGGATTCCCTTAGCAACAGCGTTAGTCATTTAACCGGTGCCGTGATTGACTCCATAGACACGGCGAGAAAAGTCGTAAAGTGGGGCGAAGCTCACTCCACACCAGTGGTCTCACTTGTAGCAACATACGTTTTCGGGCTCAGTTGTGGTTGTTGAGTTGAGGACTAGCTGTTACAGCATCCTGAAAGGAATCCTAAACCCTGGAACGTTTCAATCAGGGTTCTTCTTCAAACTTGGCAAGTTGATGACGCGTGGACTTCCACTCCCAGAATTCCTCCTGCGGTCATGGCAGCTCAGGAATTCTGGGAGTGGAAGTCCACAAATCTTAAAACTTGCCAAGTTTGAAGACGCTTGCTTTAACGGATTAAATCAGAGGTCTCCAAACTTGGCCAATTTAAGACTTGTGGACTTCAACGCCCAGAATTCCTCCTCCAGTCATGGTAGCTCTGGGAGTTGAAGTCCACAAGTCTTAAACGTGCCAAGTTTGAAGAACCCTTGGTTTAAAGCAGGGGTCTCAAACTCAATTTACCTGGGGGCCGCTGGAGGCAGAGTCTGGGTGAGGCTGGGCCGCCTAAAGGATTCCACAAAAAACGTTAAAAAAATAGAAGTGTTTAGCCAGCTAGCGACGCATGGAGAACGTCTCGACGCGTGACGTCATTTCCGCTTCTACTTGTCACAACAGCGTGGCGGATGACGAACAGCCCGGTAGCAGTCGCCTTTCTCTGCGTTTGATCGTGGCATCCGTTGATGGTAGAAAGAACCGGAATGGCGACCGCAAAAAAAGGCGACTGCTAGCAGACTGTTCGTCATCCGCCACACTGTTGTTACAAGTGTAGTGTGCATGAAGTCGGTGTAGCTTAGCCTAGCACCGAATGTCAGCCACGACGAGGAACGGCGGGCGGGACTTCCTTCAGAGGTCCATTCCCCCTGCGGGCCGCACTAACATTATACTTTCATATCACGGTGGGGGCCACAGGATATCGTCCTGCGGGCTGCAATTGGCCCGCGGGCCGCGAGAATGAGACCTCTGGTTTAAAGGATCTGCTTCTCTGACTCCCCAAGGTTTACGTGGGTCAGCTGGGAGGAGAGAAGGCAGCAACTGAGGGGCTTCTCCGAGACTTGGCTTCTCCCTGGCTGGGTGTGGGGTGAGGAGTTGCAACAGCCCTGACCTTTCTTCTCTTGTGACCATGGCAGCCGCTGGGGTGATCCCCCCTGTACGGATCGAGCATTCTTCCACCGTGCTCTCCGAGGGCCACACCTTAGACCTGAAATGCATCGTGGCTGCCTCTGTGCCGCAGGCAAAAGTCACCTGGTATAAGCGAGGAGGGGCCCTTCCTGCCAGACACCAGGTATGGCACCGCCCATCCGGGGCTCGCCAAGAGGGCCTTTTTCTCCCAGCAACACCTCCAGGTGCTGCGGGCAAGAGGCCAGCGCCTGGAAGGTGCGTCCCATCCCCGTTCACCCTCGGCTCGCTTCTTCCCCCAGGCCTCTGGCTTCCTCCTGCGCATCCCACAGGCTTCACCAGCGGACTCTGGGGAATACGTCTGCCGCGTGAGCCACGGCTCGGTCATTCACGAGGCTTCGCTGGTGGTGACCATCACAGGTCAAACGGGCTCTCCCTGTAAGTTCCCCTCCCTACGGTTGTTGGGCTGGAGGGTGTGATTGCCTGCTCCCTGGGGGTCTCCCTCGTTGAAATGGATCTGTCAAGGACCCAACCCAACAGGTCCCACGGAGACGATCCAATCTCTTAACGCAAAACTTTATTGAGTACATCATTACGGCACGGAAGGAAAGCAAAACCAGATCTGGCTAATTCCCGCGCAATTCAATATAATTATAGATTCCTCCCTCCCTCCGATTAGGGCAGGTCGCATTGTCCAATTAAGTGTCACAATATTGTTATGAGAAAGTCCCTGGAAGGTCTGGCAACCACCTGCTGAAGTGACCTTGGTTCTCACAGGCTAAGGGCTCGCTGGTTACAATCCACATTCCAATTTCCCCCTTCCCACCCCCACCCCCATAGTTCGTTGGCAAGCTGAGAAGCAGTAAAAGTGAAAGCAGCACGAGTGCGCTTTGAGTCTTGACAGGACCCCTCTTTTCTCCTTGCCCCTGGCTCTTCCAGCTGTGGGTGTCACTGCCCCGATCAGGATCGATAGTTCTTCCGCAGTCATCTCCGAGGGGCAGACCTTGGACCTCAACTGCCTGGTAGCCGGCCAGTCTCAAGCCAGGGTCATGTGGTACAAGCGTGAGGGTGCCCTCCCCGTCCACAGTCAGGTAAGGGGACATGGCAGAGATTCCTGCAGCATTTGAGCAATGGTGGGCTTTGGGACAGTAAGATTTTCGGAAAGAGAATGAACCGGGAGTGTTTTTTTGGGATTCTCGCGCTGAATCTTGACACCAAAGTTTTGGGAAATCTGAGGAGGGGTGTGTGTGTGGAAAATGGCTTCAGTTAGTAAAAGAAATCAGCTCTTGGTTGTTTGCTCCCCCCGCCCCGAACAGATTTTCGGAACCCGCCTCCGGATCTCGCAAGTTTCGGCGGCCGATTCGGGCGAGTACGTCTGTTACGTGAACGATGGCACCAGCCGACTGGAGACGTCCACCATCGTATCCATTGCCAGCAGCTCAGGCGGCGCACCCAGTAGGTGCCCGGGAAGCTTGTGGCCAGAGGGGAAAGGGGAGGGAAGGGAAATTGGGGAGCCGGGCAGCAGGGGATGCAATCCAACGATCTTCCTCATTCTCTTCAGCTTCTGGAGTGATCTCACCGATACAGATTGAATCGTCCTCCTCGTCCCTCGCCGAGGGGCAGACCATGGAGCTGAACTGCCTTGTGGCTGGCCAGGCGCACCCCAAAGTCAACTGGTTCAAGAGAGGGGGACCCCTCCCACCGAACCACCAGGTAGCGGGGGGGAGAAGCTCGATCCTTTCACTCTTCCCAGCTCCTGTTCTGACCCAACCAGGTTCCCAGAGAGTAAACACAGACAAAGGCAGCAGCCCCCACCTTTTAAGGTTTAATAACGAATGCTGTTCCTTTACAGATAAAAGGCTGCTTTCCCACAATTATCTCCGACAAGAAAGAGCCTTGCCAAGTTGTTTGTCAAGGCTGCCAAAAACCCACAGATAAGAACTAATTTACAAGATTCACGAACTAAGATATCCACCAGTTGAGCTTCAGAGCTTCTTTGCTGTCTGCAAAGAACGCTTTTCCAAACCTGGCTTTTTATCCTCTTGCAGGAGGGGCCATGACCTTGCAGCCTTACTCCCGAGTCGCCTGTGCTGCTGTAATTGTTCTTTCCTCCGAGTAATCCTTCGTGCACGTGTACTTGGCACAGGCTCCTCGGGAACCTCCTCGTCACTGCTGCCAGCCCCCACAATCTCTAAAGGCAACAGTCCACTCCCTGGTGGTCCTGGCCCGTCATCTGAGTCCTCGCTCTCCTCCAGCCATCCACACCTGCTGCCGGCTAACCACAACAGCTCCTCTCTGGGGAAGGAAGGCCCAGCAGGAGAGCCAAATGCCGATCGTGGCTCACTTACCTCTCCTTGGCAGGTCTCGGGCACTCGCCTCCGCATCCCGCAGGTCTCTTCCGCCCACTCCGGCGAGTACGGCTGCCGCGTCATCAGCCCCAACGCCGTCCAGGAGGCGGTGTTGGTGGTCACCATCCAGGACAGCGAAGGCCCCTCCCACCGTAAGGCTCCTCTGCTCCCCTCTCTGCCTCTTGGCAATTCAGACCTGCTGGAGGAGGAGGAGGCCCAGCTCATCCTTCTCTCCTCCTTTCACGCAGCTGTGGGAACTGCTCCAGTCCTGAGGATCGAGGCTTCCTCCTCCTCCGCCGTCGAAGGAGAGACCCTGGATCTGTCATGCGTTGCTCCAGGCCAGCCCCAGGCCACATTCACCTGGTATCGGCGAGAGGGTCAGCTGCCTGCGGGTCACCAGGTAGAGGGCGAGTTTGTCCACCGCGGGTGGGGGAAAGAAGGCAGTTGTCAGGATTCCAGCAATCGCCCTAATGAAATCATGATTCTCGAGCCAAACTTCAAAAAACTTTATTAGAAGCGACATATTGGCACTGCCTTGTATGAAGCCAACTCTGGTATACGTCATTTACAGTCCCCTGTGACCCTGTTCCCACTCTCCCCCCTGGGTGTCTCATAAATCAGATTCTCCAATTGAGCATGTTCATCATTCCCGTTCTCCAATTAAATATATTCCCAGGCAAAAGCTCTGGTATTTTAGTTACAATCTTTTAAAGATAAAGAGTTGGAATGTACTTCCGCTTTCAAACTGCTGCACTGCTTTTCCAGATTTCCTTCTTCTCCCCCCCCCTTTTTTAATGACAACTACTAAAACAGACATCGCCCCCCCCCCCCCCCCGATCTCCAATGCCCACCTGCGACTGGTCCGACTCACCCCCGCCGACTCTGGCGAATACGTCTGCCGTGTGAGTGGAGGCCGCGTCCCGCAAGAGGCGTCCTTCGTGGTCTCCGTCGTAGCCAACACCAGTCCTACTTCCCGTACGTTTTGGGATCCCGGCGGGGGGGTGAGAGTGGGCGGGCGGAGGGTGTTCGGACTCCAGGGGGGGACACCGTCGCTCTCTCCCGGCAGGTCTGCAGAGCCCCATCATCTCCATCGAACCCCACAGCGTGGTGGTGCGTGGAGGGGAAGACGCCTCCTTCAGGTGCCATGTCCACAAAGGCACCCCACCTCTCAATATCACCTGGAAGCTGCCCAACAACCGGCTGTTAGGTGAGGTTCGGGGGGGGCTAATAAGTGCCCGGGGGGGCCGGTGGGGGGGGGGGGGGGCCGGTTTTGGGGGGCCGCCCCCCCCCCCCCCGGTAATTCCTTCCATCCCCTCTGCAGATAACGTGAGGATCAGCCCTAACGGCTCTGCGATCACCATCTCCAACGCCCGTCTGGAAAACCACGGGGCCTACCGTTGTGTGGTCTCCAACCAGTTTGGCATTGCCAACAGCTTGGTCAACGTCCTGGTGCAAGGTAACGGGACAAGGCTGAGGGTCTCTACGGGACAACGAGGGCCCCTTTCGTTCTCCTCCAAACGACGCTAAAGTGGGCCTCTGGAGGAACGCCGGGGCAGAAGGTCTGCCGAAGAGCCTGGGCAAACTCGGGTGCCCTTCTCTTCCCACCTCCCAGGGCTGCCTACCGTCTCGGTGGTGCCGAAGGGGCCCCTGCAGCTCAAAGTGGGCAAGTCCATCAGCGTGGACTGCCTGGCGGACGGGGACCCCAGGGCTGTGGTGCGCTGGACCAAACTGGGGACCTGGAAGAAGCTGGAGAACCAGAGGATGCTGCCCTTGGAGAGCCGAGCGGTGCTACAGGTGGGAGAAGGATCTGTCTAAAGGCAGGGGTGTCAAACTCAAGATCTACGGGCCGGATGTGGTCAGATCCAGCCCGCGGGGCTGTCCTGGTCTACTCAATGCAAAGAGGAAAGATGCCAGCCGTTGGGGGAGTGGCGTCAAGCTAGCCACACCCACCCAGTCGGCCACACCCACCCTGTTGGCCACACCTACCCAGTTGGCCATGCCCAGCCGGCCTCTGAAGTCAACCACAGCCCCAATGCGTCCTTCAATAAAATTGAGTTGGACACTCCTGGTCTATCAGAAAGGTTGGCAGTTCCGCGGTTCGAATCCCTAGCGCTGCGTAACGGAGTGAGCTCCCGTTCCTCGTCTCAGCTGCTACCAACCTAGCAGTTCGAAAGCACGTAAAAAATGCAAGTAGAAAAAAAAGGGACCCCTTTGGTGGGAAGTCACAGTGCTCCGTGCGCCTTCGGTGTTTAGTCCTGCCGGCCACATGACCACGGAGACTTCAGCTCCCAGAATTCCCCAGCCAGCCAAGCTTTGGAGGAGTTCAACTTGAAGTCCTGAAGGACTTCAACTCCCAGAATTCCCCAGCCAGCAAAATTTTGCTTCAAGTTGCCAAGGTTGGAGACCCTTGTCCTAAAGGATATCTTAATTCTTCCGTTTGAGTGGGAATCGGGCTGAGGGTGTTGCGTGGCCTCCTCTCCCTCCCCAGATCTCCTCCGCAAAGCTGGGAGATGCCGGCACCTACGTGTGTGTGGCCCAGAACTCGGTGGGCACCACGGAGGCGCAGGTGGAGGTGAGCGTGGAGGCGGTACATGGCAGGAGAGGAGTCCCCGAAATCCACATGACTCCCACCCAGACAGTGCAGGCGGGACAGACGGCTCGGCTCCATTGCTCTGCTACAGGTGTGCGCGAGGGGGCGTGGGCACGGAGGGGGCGGGGTCTTTGGCTCTGACTGGACCATCTTAGGGGCTTCTGGACCAAGGCTACCTGGCTTGCTGGCCAGCCAGGCTCAGCGCTACTACCTTTGTTGGGATTGACAGGTGACCCGACTCCCACCATCCACTGGTCCAAGCTGCGGGCTCCGTTGCCGTGGCAGCATCAGGTGGTGAACGACACCCTCATCATCCCCCGGGTGGCCCAGCAGGACTCGGGCCAGTACATCTGCAACGCCAGCAACTCTGCGGGGTTCACCGAAGCCTTCGTGGTGCTGGACGTGGAGAGTGAGTGCGCCAGCAGGAGGAGGGGGAGGGATGGGGCACAGGCAGGGGTGGTGCGCTGCTCCCTGGGCGGCCTTGGGTTGAGAGGAAGAGGGCGAAAGAGGAAGAAATGCCAGGCACCCCCCCTATGGACCCCTGGCACCCATGGACTGGCCAACGCCATGAAACAGAGATCAGTGCCTTCCTAAGGAATCTCTGAGATGGGTGCCTGCACCAACCTCTTTCTCCTTCCTCTTTCTCTGCCCAGTACCACCCTACGCCACCAGTCTTCCCAACCGAGCAGTGGTGCACGAGGGCGATGCAGTGCAGCTGCAGTGCCTGGCCCACGGCACGCCCCCCTTGCGTTACCAGTGGACCAAAGTGAACGGCAGCCTGCCCGGACGGGCCACGGTGCGCGACGGGGTCTTGCAGTTCAGCCCGGCCGGGCACCAGGATTCCGGCACCTACCGCTGTCACGTCAGCAACCGGGTGGGCTCCGCTGAGGCTTTGGCCCAGGTCTACGTGCAAGGTGAGTTGGGCATCCAGGTGGAGATTCAGCCAACGGCGTGGCCAGAGGGGCTACAGGGCTCGGTCCTGCCTCATGACCCTTAACCGTCTCGAATTAGGAGATTAAAATGTTGTTGTTGTTAATTGCAAAGTTGTGTCCGACCCATCGTGATCCCCATGGACAACGTTCCTCCAGACCTTCCTGTCCTCTACCATCCTCCGGAGTCTCTTTAAGCTCACGCCAACTGCTTCAGTGACTCATCCAGCCCCCTCCTTCTCTTTTTTTTTTTTTTTCTTCTTCTTCTTCTTCTTCTTCTTCTTCTTCTTCTTCTTCTTCTTCTTCTTCTTCTTCTTCTTCTTCTTCTTCTCCTTCTCCTTCTCCTTCTCCTTCTCCTTCTTCTCCTTCTTCTCCTTCTTCTCCTTCTTCTTCTTCTTCTTCCCTCTATCGTTCCCAGCATTCGGCTCTTCTTCTCCAGGGAGTCCTTCCTTCTAACGAGGTGGCCAAAGTCTTTGAGTTTCCTCTTCAGGATCTGGCCTTCTCAAGAGCAGTCAGGGTTGCTGCTGGTTTAAAAGAAACCCCCAAGGACTTGTGGGTGAATCCTACGATTCCTGAAGAGCTCTGAAAAGCTGGCTCCAGTCCCAGGCTTGGACCTTTTATGGAAAGTTTTGCAGCGATAATTCAGCGCCACAAAAATAAACACAGGTGGCTGATGCTTCGTTTAACATCTTCATAAACATAAGTAGAATTTACAAACCAGTTGTAGATTTCTCCAACATGGAGCAAACACAAACAGGAACATGTTGCAAGTTCGGAGCAGAGCTCCAGTCTTCAGCAAGCAAGCAATTTAGTTTCATCTTCCATCGACAGACTCAGAGCTCAACATAGCTGCAGAGTTGCAGAGCCACGCCGAGGCCACTTTTAGTTTCAGTTTCCAAACTATCCTCATTTGGCTGATTTAGTTGCTCTACCTATTCATTGGCTGACCTTGTTACCAAGCTCTATTCCAGGTCATGAATACACTCTGACAGACCTGTCCTGACATATTGTTCTATGTCTGGATCTGCGTTTTTGTCATATTTGTGCTGACTTGCATGGTCTCCTCTTCCTTGTCCCCAATACAGCCACTGCTGGAGGACCCCTCTCCATCCAGATCAACCCTCCGAGCGACACCAAAGCCGTGGGCGCCACAGCAGAGTTTGTGTGCTCCGTGTCCGGGGACCCCAGGGCGCAAATCGAGTGGCTGAAAGAGGGCGGAGAGCTGCCTCCCACTCACACCATCCGCAATGGAGTGCTGCGGTGAGCCGGGCAGATGAGGGCCACGGCGTGGCATGGCATGGGGGGGGATAGGAGGAGGAGGGGGCACTGGGCATCTGCAGACTGGGGCAACGAGTTCAGGGATTCACCGAGCGGCTGCTTCCCTCCAGGATCGAGAAGCTGAACCCAGAGTGTCAGGGAATCTACGTGTGTCGGGCCAGGAGTCCCTCTAGCCAGGCCCAGGGAAGGGTCAGCCTGACTGTCCGGGGTAAGTAAGCCTCTTGCCACCTGGTGCCCCACCTGTGGGAGACAGGAAGCCTCCTCTTCCC